ATGAAACTCAAATACTTTGGCCACCTAATGAGAAGGAAGGACTCCCTGGAGAAGAGCCTAATGCTGGGGACAATAGATGGCAAGAGAAGAAGGGGACGGCAGAGGATGAGGTGGCTGGATGGGGTCACTGGGGCAGTGGGTGTGGGCTTGGGTGGACTCCAGGGGATGGTGGACGACTGGACTTAGCAATTAGCAACATGCAACAATTTTGCTCTCATTTTAAATCCATTGTGGGAAGGTCATATTGTGATTTTTTTTAATTAGAAGGCCAGCATCATTGTTATGGGAAGAAAAATAAATGTGTCTGTTGTTATGCAGATTTTTTAAAAAAAAACATACATTCCCTGTTCTTGCTGATAGCTGAAAGCCATTCCTATGCTTATTGTAAGCCCTGAGGGGAAAATTCCAGCCAGAGCAAAGGTTTTCAGGATTTTGCATTTTTATAGCTTCAGGCACTTTCTCCTGCAGAGTCAGGATCGGAGGCAGCTTCAGTGCCCCATCTGCTGGCCAAGCAGCAGCATAGCAATCCTGGTCATTGCAGGATTAGTGCCTCCATCTACCAGGGCCTTCGTGAGCACCACCTGGGAGTCGTGGGGAAGAGCTATATAAGGAATATAAGGCAGTAAGGGATATATAAGGAAGCTGCATTTGCAAGGAAGGTGTCCAGATTGGCTGTGGTGCTCCTTGCCTGTTGTACCCCAAACATTTAGACCTTGTTCCCGCCCTAAGGCACTGCTCCTTTCTGCATTGCTTCCTCAGTTTCTTGACCACTGGCGTGCTTGGCTATGCTTTCATCGCTTGGACTGGACTCACCTCGCTCTTCTACTCCTGGCACTGACCTTGCACTGTTGGGTAACATTTAGGTTTGTTTGCAATTGGACTTGGTTGGTTGTCTGGGTCCTGGTGCCCATGTCAGTCAGCTGGCCACCCACACCCTGGACGCTGACACGGACTTATGCAGCCATCTCAGAGTTACCATCTGTTGGGTGGGTTTTAGCACAGCATGAAGTTGGCAGGGTTCAGACAACGCAATGACCTACACAGGGGCTGAGTGAGGGCTTCGGAACGGGGGTTTCTTTGGAACTGTTCGCTCTTGCCCTGATTGAACTCAGCAATGCTGAAACGCCATGGCTCATTGATCACAAACAACCCACCAAAAGGACCCTGGTTCATTGGCAGGTTGAGAACTGTGGTTTGTTCACCATTTCATCAACAACCCAACAATGACAACCCTTCAGTGTAAGTTGTTGTGTTCTTGGAACACAGTAACTTTTTTCTTTTGAGGAAAAAGCAAACAAACAAACAATCTGTGGCTTGACCATCTCTTGAAGATACATTTTAGGAAGTCTGCCTATTGTCCTTCCACCCCTACCCATACACCCCCCCACCCCAAATAGTGTCTATTTGGAAGTCTAACCTAAAGTCACACCCTTAGCTTGGGCCAGCTAAACAATTCCTCTCCTTTCCTTTATTGCCATAAACTGAGGCTGGATCAACACCTGCAGAACAAGGTGCATGATTGGAAGGGTGCATGATTTATTTATCTGAAGTTTTTGTATTTCATTTTTCAGACAAAAAGACTCAAAGAGTGGCTGACACAGAACAGACGGTCACTGCAAACCGTTGATGAAGAAATAAATTCGTAATGCTACCCTGCACTGTAACATCTCCCTGAAAGGCAGAGAACAAACATGGACGGTTTTTAAACTGGTTTCCGCTGAGATTTTTATATGCATTCCAAAGTGGTATTCCCACACCCCACCCAGTCTGAAGTGTGATGGTCCATTCTAGCCCCTCGACCATTTGCCACCTTATTCTATTGCGTGTGGAGAGTGAGTCTACGTGGTTACAGAACAGGGTCTTTCCAGTGCGGCTCCCAGCAACTGGACCCCTCTGCTGCTTGAAACCGGGGTGACTTCCGCATTTGTTAGATTTTGCTGATGGATGCTAACTCAGTGTCATTTGCAACATTTTTATAGGTTTTTAGAATTGTTTTTCTCTCCTTTAGATGACAGCACTTTGTATATGTCAGCTCACCATTTTGACTGCACCTGGTGAACGTAGACTGCAGCTGGTCAGTTGTGTGTCTTCTCAGATTAAACCCACTGAGTTCAGCGAGCTGTAGGGAAGCAGCACCTCCTCTGTCATGTCAGCATTGAAATATTCAGCAAACCTGTTCCAGAAGCAATTTCTCCATCAGGAGGAGGCTAGGCTTGCCTTCCTATTCAAGGCCAACCCCCACCCCTTCCAGCACTTTGCATTACAACAAGGAGTAACATATTGCTGCTGGGAAAATTCATTTCCCACAGCTAGTGTCAGGATTGCAATGGGATAAGGGAATTCTGAGGGGGACTGGCAGATGACCTCAGCTCCCCTGCCTAATAAATCGAGGGCCAAGTGCTGTATGTTTACAAGCCTGGATTGTGTGGTTAGATGCTACACCACTAGATTGTTAGTAAGATGCTAAGAAAAAAAAGCACGTTTATACTTTTCTAGCTCATGCGTTTGAATCTTTAGCTGCTGATGATGTTTTGGGATCTTCATGCGTAAAGTTTTCTGCATTCTTGTTTCCCTTTCATATGTTTCACATTTATTGTATGTTGCATTTGTTTTTCATGTTTTTCTGTGTGCTGCATTCAGCCTTTTATCATTAAGCAGAAAGAATATAGTTTAAATAAAGAATAGCTCGCCACTGGTGAGCAAATGGTTTTCAGCAAATCTGGCAGAAAGACAAACACCACCAAACTTCTGACACCAGGAAGTTTAGAAAATAGGTCTGCTTCTTCCTGAACTTGCTTCGAGCAGTCCTTCTCCTGGACTGTTCTACCGCTTTGCTTCCCTGAAGCATCACCGAGTTAAAGGGAACTCTTGGCAGAGCAAGTGGGTTGGTTGAGTATTAGCTATTAGTTGAGTATTAGTATTAATAACGAATATTAGCTATTAACTGGATCTGGCTAAAGCCATCTGGGATTGTTCAGGGCTTGTGCATCTCTTAAGATCCAAATACTGAGGGAAAGCACCATGCTTAGGGAGGGATACCTGGCTGGCCCGCATGAAGCCCCAAGGCAAATCGGAACATCGCCCACAGCCGGAGCCTCCTAGGTCAGCAATGGAACCGCCTGTATTCAGATATGCCAGTTAGCTCTCATGGTGGGAATTTCAACCCAAGAGGAGGCTGTCGGCGCTACCTGGCCAGCAGCAGTATAAAAGGAGGCTCCGCCATGCGCTCGCTCCAGGTTGACTGCCATTTGGCTGCGAATGAACTTATTCTTAAGAATAAAACAAACTTGGCTCTTCTCATCCTGCCATGCTTAACTGGACGAAGCAGCCAGTCCTTGCGTACTTGTACCTTCGTGACAGAAAGCCTGTTTTGAACTTAAGTATCCCTGAATGCACCAGCAACTGGGATAGGCAAAGGGAAGTGCCCTTGACCCCATCCTGACTCAAACCCCACACCTGGCTTTCACAAGCCAGTGATGGCCACCAAGTTGGATGGCGTTAAAGGGGCATTAGAGTGATCCATGGAGGGCAACCAGAACCCGTTGGTTCAGCTCCAGCAAGCTTCCCGGTGCTGCTTTGGCTTAACCGCGGTGAGAATGGAATGCCAGGCTAGATCAATCCGTCGTCTGAGCCAGTACAGTTCTTTTTATGCTCAGGAAAAATGGGCCAGACACAAGGGCATGCGATCTGGTTCTGTTACTTGCAGGAGGACGATGCAGGCCACATTGCATCCCGTGATCTGCCGATCTACTTTTTTTTTTAAGTTAAATCTTGCACTTCATTCCAAGCATTTGAGCAACTGAGCAGAAATCTTGCAGAAGCTCTCATCTCATCCATGTTTGCCTATCATCCAAGTCTCTCTCGTTTCTGCATGAAAAATTCCAAATTGTGTAACAAGAGTGGCTGACAGCCAGTGAGATCCATGTTCCTTCCTTCTGTGTTTTAACTTTGCCCAACTTTCTTCTGTCTACAGGTGAAACTCTGTGCCGGCTTAGCCAGAAAAAGGTTGCACAATTCCTAGCGATCCTCAGCCAGCCTTCCCAGCTTGCTGGGGGTCGTAGGATTTTTTTTTTTTTTAAGTTGTAAGATTTTAAGGATTGTGCCCTTAAAGGATTAAACACTGATTACAGAAAATAGAAGACAGGGATTGACACTGGAAAGGAGACACTCAGAGTCAGCTTGAAGACAGCAAAAAGTAATCTCCAAGAGAAGGGAAAAAACGGTGAAGGGGACCAGAGTCACAGTGCAAAAGGTCTCCTAGTTGCATTGCAGGCGGCACGTGAGAAGGATGCTGCCGCCTCGTCCGCTGGGATGCCCCCGGAGGGGCTGGGGGGCAGGGAGTGACGACAACCCATGGGGACCCCCGTGGTCTCGAAGGCACGCTGCGAGTGATCCTGGGAATAACCAGCCCGCGGTGGCTTCTCTCTCTCTCTCTCTCTCTCTCTCTCTCTCTCTCTCTCTCTCTCTCTTTCTTTGCATGATCTGCAAACCAATCCAGTGCGAAGTTTCCACCACCCTTTTCTTATCTTTTTCCTGTTCTCCCTCTTTCAACAAAAGGCGCTTAAATCTACCACAGGGTCCAATGAGACAAGTCAAGTCTCCGCTAAAATCTACAGACAGAGCGCAAACCTACTCTCACTTCTGGAAAAGGAGGCGCTTGGCCTCCGCGCCAAGCGCAACGGCGCGGGGCCCCGACGCGGGCTGCGGGCGCCGTCCTTGCGCGGAAAGCACGAATCGCGCGTGACTGCGGCGAGGCGCGGCCGCCCGGGCTCGGGGGCGCGTGCTTCCCTCGGGGGCGCAAAGACGCGCGCGGTCTGGGGGCGCCCCGCCCGCCGCCCTCGCCTCCCCTCGCCGGCCCCGCCCGGTGAAGTGCGGTGCAGCGCCCGGGAGGGGGCCTGGGCGGCGTCGAGAGCCGCGCTTCCTGGGAGGAAGTGACCCAAGGCCGCTGGAATGCCAGGCTGGCTCGCCCGCCCCGTCGCGCAGCTGCGGCTCCGGGGCGGCCGGCGAGGCGGCGGCGCGGGCCGGGGCGATGCCGCACTTCACCGTGGTGCCGGTGGAGGGCCAGCCGCGCGCCGACTACGACAGCCTGGAGGGGCTCCGCCGCGTGGACTACAGCGAGCCCGGCGGCTCCGACGGGGCGCGGCGCGCCTCCCGCCAGCGCGACGTCTACGACTCGCTCAGCTCCGACGGTGAGTGGCGAGCGGGCCCGGGCGCGGCGGCTCTCCCTCCGCCTCGCCCCGCGCCGCGCCCCGCCGCGCCGCGCCTCGCCTCGCCTCCGCGCCGCGCTGCTCCGAGCGGCGCCCTGGAGCGGG